CACACACACACACACACACACACACACACACAAACAAACAAACAAACAAACAAACAAATAAACAAACGATGTTCAAACAAACAAATACACACTCGGGCTTTTCAGCTCCGCCTTGGCGTGCGAAGGAAGGGGGATGACATTCAGTGACACACTCTTTGTCTCCCCGCCCCGCCTGCTCTCACGAGCCGACAATTTCTCTCTAAATATGCTCACCGTGACGGAGCCATGCCGCCGAAGCTTCGGCGCCATAGCGAGCGGAGGCACGATGACGTTCGACTGACTGGAAGAAGCTTAGGAGGATCGGATGGGAGGGAGGATGTTGCTCGTTGCTCGGTGCCAACAGCAGCAGCTCCCCGACGAGGGCGACGAGTCCGCCCACTCGGATGCCCACAGGTGGGGCACCGACAAGCGCATACGCGCCTGCGCTTTTCCATCAACAATCCCCGCCGCTCCGCCCACATCCCCGTCCTCCTCGGTCCATCATATATATATATAGACATTACTCAACGCCTCGCGGGACTCACCCGAATGATGCATCCGTCTACCTGGAACCCATCCTTCTCCATCGCCTTGACCGCTGCTTCCTCATTGCCAAATGTAACAAACGCGAATCCTCTAGATTCGCCCGTCATTCGATCTTTCACGATCTTCAAATCGACCACCGGCCCAACTTGCTGAAAGGTTTCCAATAAAACCTCCTTGGTCACAGTGCGGCTCAGATTGCCGACGAACATTTTGACATGCTTTCTACTACTCGCCGACGTTGGCGGCGGCGGCTGCGAATGCGCAGTGTAAGGCGCCCCTCCGCCGCCTCCGCCCCCTCTCGGCCTGCGCATTCGCTGCGGAGCTCTCTCTACTGGAGTCGTCACAGCCGCCGCCGCCGACGGCGGCGGCGGCGGCGGCGGCGGCGGCGTGGCCGCCATGGCCGTCGCCGCTGTTGTTGCCGGCATGCTCTTCTCCCTCCTCGACGGGAAAGGCCCCGTCTTTACCACGCCCGGCTTCGTTCTCAGAGTAGTCTCCCCCATCTTCACCCCATCCAAGGCCTCAATTACTACCTTTGCCTCCTCGCAGCTGGACATCCGCACGAATCCGAAGCCCCGATGCTTACCTCTGGCGATGGACGCCTTGCTCTGTCCGCGGTAGGTGCACATTTCGATCTCCTCGACCTTGCCGTGTTGACAGCAAAGCGCCTTCAACTCCACTTTCGCTTCCTCCGCCAGCATGCTCCATGGGATCCCGCCCACGAACACCCGCTGCGGATCCAACTGCAGCTCCCTGGGCCCGTCTCCGCCTGGTCCCGCTCCTCCTGCGCCCGGTCCGCGCAGTTGTCCCTGACCCGTCCCGGATCTTCCTCCCACCGTTGACACGCGTCCTCCTGCTGACGAGGGGGCACCCGCCGACCCTGCTGAAGAACCTGCGGAACTACCACCTTCCACACCGGCGGCGTCGGCACCTGGTCCAACCTTCTCCGCCGCTGCGAGCGATCCCGCAGCCACCCCGATCAACGACCCCCCTTCTCCTTCCGCAGCCTCCGAAGCAGCCGCCGGGTCACTTGCTGCAGCAGCAGGCCCTGCGGAAACATCGGCGGAGGCGGAGCTCGGCTCCCCCGTCTCTTTCGTCCCCGGAGCCAGATCCGGATCCGGATCCGACCCCTGAGCTGGGGTGGAGTGTGCGCTTGCCTCTTCATCGCCGCTCGTTCCGACACTCCCTGCCGTAGCAGCAGCAGCAGCGCCAAGAAGTCCCTTGTCGCTTCCCTCAGGCTGCACACCCTTCTTCTCCTTCTCCTCCTCCTCGGAAGACGGGATTGACGACGAGCTCTTCACGGCTGACCCCTCCTCCTCCTCCTCCTTCTTGGCCAGATTCTGGTCCTCCGATCCCGACACCGACTCAGCAGCGGTTGCTGCTCCCGGTGTCGGCATCCCGACCCCTTCATCACTTACCGACGTTTCTACCAAGCTGCTGCTTGCAGCACCGGCCTCATACGAGCCAGTCGGCCCCGGGTTCTGGTCACCAGAGTCCCCTGCCCCAGGGTTGCTCATCGCCGCACGTAGCGATTGCTAGTAATTTGCTACTACGACGCCACCCCCTAAATCTCCGCCAGTGACCGCCACTGCACAGCACGCCCACCCACCTCCCCCCACAGTCTGACCAATTCTCTGCTTGCTCCTCTTCGATATGACGAGGAGACGAGTCTCTAACAGAGCGGACGTCTCTGCTTGCTCCTCTTCGATGAGAGCGGACGATCGAGCGCACACACTTGTTTGGGCTCTCGTCCTTGACTTCTCCCCTGCGCTCTCCTCTCGCTCTCTGTCTGTTTTTCACCCACAATTGCGCTCGGTGAAAATCTGTTTTTCACCCACAATTGCGCTCGATTTCACCGCCTTTTCGAATGGTGCTATAATGCTATTCTTGCAGCCAGGACGCGAACATGGCTGGGTGTTTGGCCAAGTCCTTGCTATTCTTGCAGCCAGAACACCAGAAAGAACCCTTCTGCGCTCAAGATGACACACACTGTCTCGCTTCCGCTTCGGCTTCGACTGCCAGGTGGATTCGAGCTCTCGCTCTCCGACTTATGTACGGAACCTAAGGTAGTGGCAGCACGACCATCGCCGCCTTCCTCCCGATCCCCTCCTTGCCGTACTTGCCTCGTCGATCCTGTTATGATTGGATCTGTGTGTACAATGAGCCAAGAAACACCGAACTGGTAAAAACAAAACTGGAACTTAAACTTGAATGCGGCAGCGATGATTGATTGTCAGTCAGCTTCCCTGCACAACTCTGCGAAAGATAGAGAAGCCGAAAACTCCCAAGTCGCTTGCAAACAAGAAGAAATTGACCGACCTTTTTTGAAGCCGCCCTACGCACGGACAAAGAGAAGAAGAGTTGTGGGCGGAAGGAGGAGGGGGAGGGGGAGGGGGAAGGGGGGAGGGTTCGGGCGGGTCAGCGGAAAACAACGGGAATGACGGATCCAACCCTCAGCTAAGCACCGCCGCCACACGCCGCCCGTCAGGGAAAGCGATCCACGCACATAAAACAAGAAGTGCTGAGGCAGTACCTACTACTACCTATTACGGCAGTCTACAGCGATTAGCGTTAACCAGAACTTGGAAATTCTCCACCTTTGGACTTCTTGCCGTCAGTAGGCTCAGTAGCCTAGCTCCCCGATCTTGATCGCACTTGTCTCAAACTCGACAAACAATTGTACTCCTCTCTAGACATACTTCATTGTCGGCACCTCTCTGTACTATGGAAGCCCGGCGTCGCCGCTCAACCATCGGTTGCTCCAGCTTCTCTCTCTCTCTCTCTCTCTCTCTCTCTCTCTCTCTCTCTCTCTCTCTCTCTCTCTCTCTCTCACACACACACACACACACACACACACACACACACACACANCACACACACACACACACACACACACACACACACACACACACACACACACACACACACACACACACAAAGAGAGGGAACAGCTCTTCCACGAACACTAGGAATCGTCAGTCAGCAGGATGCTCTGGCACGTTGGCGTTGCTCGTCTGCAGTCGTGTTAACGAAACCAGAGGGAACGTAGTCAATCAATTAATCAATCCCGAGTGACAGCCGGGTCAGCGTGGGAGCTTGAAAGAAGACGGGACAGCCGCATTTGGCGTCCGAGGGTTCCGTTAGGAGAGGGAGGTGGGACACTGCACGGGCAGGAAGGTGATATGCAACAAGCAAGTACCGTCATGCGCCAACAAGTGACAAAGTGTACCGGGAGATCCCTTGCTACTCGGGAGTCGGGACGCTACCTCTGCCTCAACAACTTTTTGAATCGGGATCGGTCGTCACTGGCAATCCCTCTCCCTTTCGGTTGTTATTCCAATTCGACATTATAGTGCTCTGCCAAGCAGCAGAAGATGGCACGAAGCGTGACGAAGGTGGTGATGATCTCTCTTCTGCTGTGCTTTTATGTCAAACCGAGTGTGATCATTGCTCGCAGCGCACACATAGCTCAAGCATATGAGCAATCTGAGGTAGGTAATCTTTTCTTTCTTCTTCTACGTATGTCTCTGTGTTCGTGTATTACGCGTGGATCGGATGAACTTCACCGATAAATCGGCAAGGGGGTACACAAACATAAGAGCCCCTATCACCGAACCGAAGCTAAAGAGGTAGGCAGTATAGATAGTACGATAGTCACAAGTTCTTATGAGATCACGCACCCACCCAATCAAACACCCTCTCTCACACTCCCCTTGCTTCCGCCCCCCGACGACCACGCCCAGCCCCCTGCCGGGCAGTGTAGCAAAGCCTGGCTCCCCTTTTATCGATGGATTGGTGGATAGATGGCAAGCCCATAGACTGGCATAGATTGAATGGAATGAACCCACGTGGAGTAAATAAAGGTTCGACACGACGGTTATTGATGGAACCGGACGAGAATCTCGATGTGGGATTGGCACACAGCTGAGAGGATGATGAAGAAGTAGGCAGACTACTTACACCAACCAAAAAGAAAAGGAAAAAAAAAAAAGGTAGGATAGTGGATGGCGGGCGTTGGCAATATGGCGTCCTTCGACTGTGAACACTTCGAGAAGGGCATTCAAGGAAAAGCCGACAGCACTGACTAAGCGAGGTAGAGGACCTATCTGTAAGGTTGTTCGGGTATCTCCTCCTCCTCCTCCTCCTCCTCCTCCTCCTCCTCGTCCTCGTCGTCGTTGTCGTCGGGCCCTCTTCTTCCGTCGAACAACCAGGCTGACCCTACATACACACAGTCAGAGCGAGAGAAACGCCAGGATTGACGATCACGTGAGGGATCAAAAACTGTCGGTTTTTCGCAGCGCGGATGTTCTGCTAGAAGCTGAGGTGATGGAGACGCTTACGTCCCTCCTCCTACTCCTCCTCCTCCTCCTTCACCTCCTCCTAGTCCTTCACCTCCTCCTAGTCCTACTCCTCCTCCCACCCACCTCCCTCTCCGAGATTGCTGGTCTTCCGTCGTTTGTTGACGTGAGCGTGATCTGCTCGCAGCCCCTTCCTCGAGGTCTGGTTTGAGAGGGCGAGTCGCAATTATCGTCCTCCTCGCCTGGCCGGATGTCGACGGACTACCAGTAGTGCCGCCCTGACCCAGCTCACAAGTCTGATGCCTCCCCCCCCCCCCCCCGCCGTGCCCCACATATCGGGATCGCGATCTCCTCTCTCTCCCGCCCTGTGCAGTGCTTTTGTCTCTGACGACCACATGTTTTCTTCTGGCGGCCAAACATCAACAAGAATGAGACAGCACCTGTGAATTTACAACAATAAACACGAAACCCAAAAAACAACAACAACAACGATGCCAGCCGTAATCCGGCCGATCTCTGTTCTGACAGTGCCGTGACCGCTACACCCCCCTGGCTGACCCCTCCTCCCTCCTCCCTCCTCCTTCGGTAAGCCCCCTGGCGCACCGCAAAGGAGGCCTTCCTTCCGCCCCCTTCCCTTTTCCTACTGCAGTCAGTCCGTCAGTCAGTTCGTTTTTCTGAAACACCCATCGACACAACACGACGTGCACCCAGTGACCCAGGGACTACCCGTACGACAACGAGGAGGTGGAGGTGGAGGAGGAGGAGGAGGAGGAGGAGGAAGAGGAGGGACTTATCAGGCCCGGCAGGCCTCTAGCGTCGGTTGGACCCTCCGGACACCACCTCTCCTCTCTTTCATCTACCTCCTCCTCCGGAGTTCCAAGTCGTAGCTCGGAGACAAAACGCAGAAGATTCACTGCAAGTCAATAGTCGATAAGGCCGTGCCCTTGTTGTTAACTAAAAACGGATCCTCCCAATCGTGTCAGTTCCTTCAGGGAAAAAAAACTGACAGGAAAACTTCTGCTGTGTGTTTCCAAGAGTAGAGTCGCGCAGCGTAGCGTCGTACCGGTCCTTCAGGAGAACATGGAAAGGCAAACTTGTGTTCTGTTTGTGTTTTCCAAGAGTAGAGTAGCGTACGAAGCGTCGTACCCCAGAGTACAGGCAGCCCCTTGTGTTCTGTTCGCGTGTGTTTTCCAAGAGTAGAGTAGCGTACGTACCGTCGTACCGCAGAGTAGAGGCAGCCCCTTGGGCCTCGCCACACCACTCTCGAAATGTGAAAAGACAAAAATGTGATGGGTGCATCTGGCCATTGTTCTAGCACCAAGTTCATTCTCATTTTGCACATTTCGAGAGTGGTGTGGCGACGATGCCGCTTGTGTTCTATTTGTGTTTTCCAATCTATTTGTGTTTTCCGAGAGTAGAGTAGCCGTACGTCGCGTCGTACCGGCGAGTAGAGGCCGCACCCGCAAGGGGCAGCCAGCCTGACATCTGTAACTCTGACGACGACGTAGCCAACGCTCCGTCTCATCGCGCTCCGCTGGACCAACTTTCTTTTCCCCTTTTTTTAAGGCCCACCGGACCAACTGGAGCGCCGGTCCTTACGACACTGCACAATTTACTCCTTGAATTTCCTTGCTGTCCTTGCCTCCCTCTCCCCTCCTTCCCTCTCCCTCCTCCCCCCTCCCACATCCCACACAGCAAATGCATTCCAAATTCAATTTGGTAACACCTCCTTCATCGGGAGTAACATCACTTTCCCTCTCCTAGAAGGATAAGAGGAAACTGACTGGTGGCTTCTCGCCAAATTCCTTTCGTTCCCTCCCCCCGACCTCTTCCCCTGCTGTAGGCAGTAGTTCCCCTCGTCAGCACGTCACCCGTAAACGCAGCAATTGTCCTACACCTGTCACAGTTGGCTTTTCCTTGCTTCGGCCATCACCAGTGGGCACCGGAGGTTACGGAGCCGTTTCGGTCGGTAACAGAATCGTTTCCGCACACTCTACTACTTGGCAACACTTCTTCGCATCCACGCATTCGGTTCATGATTTCCACTCAATATTACTGACGGTTCATCTGGACCACGGCACCAGCATTTCACGACGCTCGGTTGGAGTTCGGACTGGGACCAAGGACTGCGGGCCACCTGAATCAGACCAAGGACATGGACCTCAGCGATATTCACGACAGACCGAGGACCAAGACTTCAGCAATATCCACGACACTCGGTTGGAGTTTTTGAGCAGGACCTATGACTGCGGGGAAATTGG